TTGTATGTACATTTGGCCCAAGTTATATAAATGGAAATATGGTTATCTACAGTTAAAAGAAGACTGAATGATACTCTGGTTAAAGAGAAGGTCATTAAGTCAAAGGGTCTTTTCATATCTTACATTTATTTTGAAAAATATTACAGGTACTGTGGCAGGGATAGGACCTGCTCCTTGCGATATTTCCTCCCCAACTCTGATAAACATAAGTATTCCAGAGTTGCAGTACAGCAGGCTGAACCGATGGCCTATACTGTTCTTTGTTCCACATCAGTGGGAATGCCCAAGGCAATGCTTTTGAGTACTGAATTTCTTTTTTTTTTTTTTTTTTTTTTGAGACAGCAAAAAAAGAGCAGTTCTGGAGGCCATCATGGCTGCCTTTTTGTTGTAAAAGGGTTAATACAATGATAATACTCTGACAAACAACCACCTCCAACCACCTTTAAATAATAATTTAAGTACAATCATAGGCAGAAGTACACACATATAATATTTACTTAACCTTTCCTTGCAAATATGGTATTTTTATATTTTCTGCTGAAATTTCTCAGGATAGATGAAGCCTGATCACAAAGAAACCTTTGAACCTGTTTTAAAAATTAAAAGTAGGGCTTTTGGCATAGCAGGCTTTTTCTTTTCCTGGTAATGTATCTTTTTGTATCTTTACTTGATGCAGTTATGTAGGAAGAAAATCCACTCTAATAACACTAGGGGAGGGTCCAAGAAACCATACACTGCTTGTGCTGGTTTTCAAAAAAATGGTACCTGTCTGGTAAGAAATGGGAACATTTCATAAAGTACAAACACAGTAGCTTTGAGACTGATAATTCATAGCCTGAGATTTACATGGCTGGCAGGCAGGTTTTCCCAAACTGGCAAAAGTAAAACCAACATTAATGGGTAAATAGCAAAAAAGAAGGTAGGCAAGGATTTAACAGTCTGAACAGGGGAAATGAGCATCAGGTTTTTTTTTTTTTGTTCAGTTTTACTTGTTGAATGTGAAAGTATTACATAAGCCTAGAAAAGGGCTTGCAAAGGCTTTAATACTTTCAATTTCTACATGGAATTTTAAGAATTTTTTTCAGCCATTGGGAAAAAGTGGAATCTTATTTGAGAACTGGTAGTAAGTAGCATGACAGTTGAAAAACATTAGAAATGTGGTTGAAAAATGGTCTAATATCTGCCGAGATACCAATTCAATTTCATGCCAATTTAACAACAAACTACTATTATGGAAATGTTATTGCAATTAATCTTTCTCTGTACTTAATTTCACTGTTAAACTAACATGAAATAAATAATGCTTTAGATCAAACAAGGAATTAGATTAGATTAGAAGGAATCAGATCTTAGACAACTGTTGTACACTGAGATGACTTTGGACACGTTCCTCTTTCTCTTCTTTTACAGCAAAAGCAGCAGTATGGGCTTGGTCTACATGACTGACTGTTCTCCTTAAGGGCATGAAGACCTAGGTGACACAGAATGTATTTGCTGTGACAAAACTAGTAAAAGAGGTAAGATCTTGAAAGATACCATCTGAAGATAGCAAAATACATTAATCTGAAGACTATTTTCCTTTCAATCTTCCAGAATGGCAAAAACTAAAATGAAAAAGATTTAAAAAATATTTTAATATATGTATATATATAATTATTTTGCAAAATTACAGTTTCAGTCTTCTATGATATATAGGTCAATCCAGCTTCCACTACAAGGAGTAGGAATTTTATAATTTTCATCTCCAAGTACAAAGGAGTAAAGAACAAAGATTAAACCCCTTGCTTACTTTATCTGAAAAACTGATGGAGCAGTGGAGGTACTCCAATCAATTTGTCTTTGTATACAAAGATTGTATACTATGTATATAAAGCATAGGAAATCAAGATCATCTAATATCTGCATTTTCACTTGTTTTTACAAAATGATATACTTTACCATTTGAGGATATGACACTGCAACAGCTTATGGCACATGATCTGCATTAGTGCAGATCTCTGCAATGAAACTTTCATTTTCATCAGATTTTCTGAAGTGCTTCACAATGAAAGCTGGTGTCATGTGTTTTCAAAGACAGTTAAACATGGGGCTTTTTACCTTAATAAGTTTCCAAAATGAAATCCTTTATAAGACATCATGTTTGTTGTTTATTTAACTTTTAAAAATCCAATAACGAACAAGTTCCCAATGTCCCTTTATAAAAGCAGAAACATTAGGGTCTAACACAAGAGAATACTGAGCAGAGAATAAAACAGAACATCATGTTAGAAGATTGATCTAAAAATAACACATTCATAGAGCACCTTAGTGAATCACCTTTATCATAGTACGCATCTTAAATCTTCTGAAACTGGTTTGTCTGAAAAGTGTTTTCTCCCAGTTTGTTTATTCTGCAGTAAACTAAGGGCTTATCTCTTCTTTTAATTCACAATGAATAGTATTTCACTTCCCAAGAATTCCTACATCATAGGGATGTGTGTGGAGATACTTGTGTGCAGAAAGATAGAATACAAACTGGCTTTTAGTTAAGAAAAGAAAAAAAAAAGGCCCAAGGACATTATACAATAAGGAATCTCAAACTCTAGTAGGAACAATAAGTGGGTTAAGAACAGATCCATCACTGTGCATATCACAGTGAAATATTTTCACTATGCACATTCTGGTATGAAAATATTGATGTCTGCAAATGAAGCCAGGAAATACACACTGAGAGAACCAACTGTATAACACCAATGAATTGAGCTTTGTAACACTGTGAATCAGTGAAAAGAAGAAAATTCAAACCTTAAGAACTATAAGTAAAGATATGAATGTCTGATTAAGCATTTTCCTTTCAGAAACCAATCACTTTTCCTAGCACACAAAGAAAAAAACATATCTTCAAATATATATATTTGAAATCTGTCTGAAAACCAGTTATCGTTGATTGTATGGCTTCTTTTCTCTCTCTATTTTTTTTTTAATCTGACAACCTTTTTAATGTGCATGAGTTGGATAAAATATGCATTCAGTGAAGGAGAAACTGGATACACTATGGTGAGTGCTCAAAACATTAAACATTAGATTACAGAACTGTATTATAGTCTCTTCTGGAATAAATATTTTTTTAATTTTTTTTCCAAATCAACTCAAATTTCACAATAAGAGTGGTTCATGGCTCTCATTCCTAGCATATACCATGATCCACAGTCAAGGAAAGCTTTCTCTGAGGGCATTTGTGGGTTTGACCTTCTAAGACTGGTAACAACCAGATAAGAGTTCCCACTTCTAAGCCTTTATATCAGAGACAAGACTCATTATTACCATTATTTTGAAAAGGAAAGCAGTTAGGCTCATAATTAAAAAATACCATTGAAATTTCTTAGGCTTATGTTGCGAGTGTTTAATTTGTACTAGTCATTGATATTGTGTATGGATTTGTCTGCAAGAACATTTGAAATCTTGGTATTGAGTGTTTTTCACTTCTAACTTAAAAGATTGCTTCAAACATACTACACTTCTGAATAAAAGTAAAGACAATGCTCCCGGTTAACCTAGTTGTGGTTGCTTTGATGCTAATAGTTAAGGATTGAGGAAAGTGAATGAAGTACAAATTAGTGATCAAGTGAGTCCAGAGGAGGACCACAAAAGATGATCAGAGGGTTGGAGCCCCAGGAAAGGCTAAGAGGGTTTGGACTGTTCAGATGAAGAAGTCTCCAGGGAGACCTTACAGCAGCCTTTCAGTACCTAAAAGGGGCTTACAATAAAGCTCAAAAGGGACTTTTTACAAGGCCATATAGTGACAGGACAAGACGGAATGGCTTCAAACTGAGAGTAGGTTTAGATTAAAGAAGAAATTCTTTACTGTGAGGATGGTGAGGCACTGGGACAGGTTGCCCAGAGAAGCTGTGGATGCCTCCTCTCTGGCAGTGTTCAAGCCAGCAGATGGGGCTCTGAGCAATTTGGTCTTGTGGAAAGTGTCCATGCCCATGGTAAGGGGATTGGAACTAGATAATCTTTCAAACCCAAATGATTCTGTGATTCTATGAAAGGAAAAATAGAAGAATGACATCTTATTAAAAGAAATGAGGATTGACCAAGAATTAATTATCAAGTAATTATTTTATAAACATCAAAGATCAATATTAAAAAATAAGTCCTTCATAAGTGTTTATAATAATTTAGGATTAGCATTTAGTTATTTTTAAAAAAAATATTTTCCTTTTCAGGTTGAACATGTATGACACTTTTAATCTATTTTACTGAAGATATGTATATGAAAAATAGAGATTTAATGTGTATTAAGGAAAAAAGAAACAAAGACTTTCTTTTAGAAAATGGTGCTTTTCTGAGTTATGTAGAAGCATGTATGAGAAGGTTTATTTGACAGTGTACATCTCCTCTGTACAGGATTTGACACATCTGGACCTGAATTTATTCAGGTTTATGAACCAGGAAAAGCAATTGCATTGATGTTTTGTGTAGATTTTTAAAATAATTTACCCTTCTGAAATAGCCATGTTAGGTTTGGATGTACTTATACAGTCATTAATTCACTCTTAGTCAGTGCAGGCATTCTTCAAATTTCTTATCTACCAGGTTTAACTAAAAATCATAAATGCAATCAGATGATAACCAGAGTACTCATGAGACTGACAATAAAATGGTCATCTGCGTCACACTTGCTACTCATGTATTTCTTAGTGTGTTTACCGAGACAGCCTCAAGAATGTCTTAGAAGAATAAACCCCATAGATTCTGCTAATCTGAATGTATACATATAGTATAAATCATATGCCATACAGCCTCCCTGTGTGATACACTAGAAGCCCAGAACCAACACTGAAGTCATGCAGACTGAGGAAACTTTTCTATTTTTTGTCTAAAGCCAGGCAAAATATTCTTGCAGGGAATATGCCTACCAGAGGTAGTAGGAAGATGTCTACAAGACTAACATGATCAGAATTACAAAGGTGCAAAAAAAACTCTTAAAAAACAAACAAACAAAAAATGCCAAACAAAAAAACCCCAACAAACTAATTTAGGAGGGTAATAATTTCTCATTGAATAAGAATTATTCATTTTGTGTCTCTTCTACTGACTATAAATCACTCAGAGCAGATTGGAGCTTACATTGATCTCCAGTTGATTAACCTAGTACAGTTTAGATTTGTAGCATACATGAACTGGACATGTAGATAGGGAAGGCATATGTTAAAAGTATACTGTAGTATTCAGCTATATGCAGATGTCTCAGGGAGAGTTCTACATATTATGAAGGAACAAAAAATGCTGAAGCTGAGATCTGTTAAGATGCCTAAGAGAACAGTGCTGCCTTTTAGGTGCTTGGGTTTGATAGTGACATCAGTACTCAAGCAGAAACCTTGCTTACTGTGAGGCATTTTGTTTGAGTAAGAAAAGTAAATTGGTCCCCTAAATAATATAGAATTCAAGTACTACTAATTTCAGTGAAAGGACCCAGAAAAAAGAACAAAGGATATTTGTTGAGACAGAATAACTGACGCAATTATCTATTTTTTTACATAATTGTCATGTCAGATTTATAATTTTACATACATTCCCTTTTGAAAAGAAGTTGCAATGATTAGCCACGCTATTTTTTTACAGTGCTCAGAAGGAAACTGCCAGTTTCAAGACAGATTTCCTTGTCACAACTGCCTGTAAAAGAAAAACATCACCAACTGCAGTACAAATGCATACTATCATAAGATTTTAAATTTTTATGTGCATAAGGTGCAATCCAGTTTCTGTTCACAACATATTGGTCATAGATTTAAACTTTTTGGCAATTATAGGGTGGTTTTTTTGTTCTGTATGGTCCACAAGATCTCTCTTACAGAGAAATAATAATAAAAAAAGTGTTTAAAGATCTCTTATAAAATTCAAAATTTCCAGCAAATAAATGTTTGTATATTGCCTGACCAAACTAGTAAAAAATAAATTGCTTTACTTGTTTTGATATTTCCCCAGATTTTCTATGTCTTTAGTGAAGAGTTTTAAGGGTCAGTTTTTCTGGGCTACAGCACCAGTTGGGACCCAGGTGACTGTGTGCACTCTGTACCTGCTCGGGTGTCTTTGCTTTACTGATTTTGTGTTTGAGAAGTCCAGACGCTAATGCTCCTAATGATCAGCCATTCTTTTTGACTTTTGGTAACAAGTATTCTCATGCAGTTAACATCAAACAGAACTTTGTGCTCTACATCTGTTATTTCAAAATTCCCATTTTTGAACTCCCCTAGTCTCAAGTAAGTTGTACATTGTCTCCCTTTTTTATTGCCTACAATCTTTTCTCCTACTTCCAGGGCTCCATGATGTAAAATGTCATTTTGCCGATCTTCAGTTCCAGTGACAACTTTAATTTTGCTGATTTTAATGGGCTTTTCAAATACAATTCCATAGAAGTCTCCACTAGAAGGAGCTTTGCCCCAAAAATACTCATCAATGCTGCTGTAAGCCTTGCTTGCCTCATAGTTTTCAAATACATTCATGTTGGTGTGCAAGTTTGCAGGTGGGTTGTCAGGGATATCAAATGATTCCTCTTCGAAATCATCATCCTTTAACTTGTTTTCAGCTCCTTTGTAAGATGAGTAGTATCCCATGTGTTGGAACAGAGATGGCTTAAAACGTATCACTTCCTTTTGAGCTAACAGCCCACGAAAGTGGATGAGTAGCCAATCACAAGGCATTTCTTGGTAAAACATCAACAGAAAGTGAGCCAGTCGTGGGAGGTCATGAGAATGGTAAAGCTTTCCAATGTATCCCAGTTTAGAGAATTCCAAAGTCACCCAGTAGGATCCTTCTCGTGAGGTAATTACTTTCTTAACAGCAGTCAAAAAATTCTTTGAGCAGCGAACATCATCTTCTAGCATCACATAATAGTCAGAAAGATTAGCACAAAAGTTTAGAAGGAAAGCGTAATCTACATTTTGTTTTGATCGAAACTTCACACGGTCCTCTGGGTCATTGTAATTTCTTTTGAGGCCATCCAGTACAGGATAATAATCCTCAGGGACGTGAATAACTATTAATCTGCCTGCAATTATATGATGTGCAAATTTCTGTGAAATATCCTGAACCATCCCTTCACACCAGGCTGAGTCAAAATCTGCCAGCTGTACTACCACTGCGATTTCTTTGAGTTCCTCATAGCTTGACTGTTCAAATATGGACTTGATGGTCTCAAGCAAGTAATTTCCCTTTTTCCGTTTTACAGAGGATAATCCAATTGTAAGATACCCTGTACAAAAGACAATTTAAACAAAAACTGAGTATCTGATATTGGAAACAATTTTGTCACAAAGCTATTCTCCAGAGCTGTGCTTATATTAAATACACCTTGTGAATGGTGAAAAGTGAGAAATTTGGTATGTGAACTTATTAAGTTGCATGTAATAAAGGACCTTTATTGCCTTTTCATAAAGAAGTAACATATTGCAAGCAAATAGACATATGGAGACTATTGCGTCAAACATTTGATTGTTAAATACAAGGAATGGCATGTCATGGTCAGACGCGAAAGCAACGTGTACATCTCATAGATGAAACCACACAGACAAAAATAAGGGTGTAAAATCTGTTAAAGAAAGGGGTTTATGAGGCGATTACTCACACAATATTTTTAAAGCTAAGAACTGCCAAATGCAGCACAAAAATATGATACATAGATTAATTGCAAAACTTTTATAATTTTAAGCTCTCTAAAAGTCTAGCAACATTTATGCATAGCTGCACAGTGTTATAGATTTTGCATGGATAATTTTTTTTCAGCATGTTCCTTTTTTAGCTGAATTTGTTCAGTTTTCCTTTTTCTAATCCTTTTTCAGGACTCATTGAGCATTTTACAGGGAACTCCTTTTTCCAAGATGCAATTTAGATATTATTTTAAAGTAGAAGAGAACTTCTTTCTCTTTTTTTTTTTTTTTTTTTTTTTTTTTTTTTTTTTTTTTTTTTTTTTTTTTTTTTTGTGCAAATAATTTTTAATGCTGTTACGTCTTTCTAGAGAGAGATGTATCTTAATGATAAGGGAAGAATTTTCATCTCTGCCGTTTTGTAGTCACTGCCATTGAATTTTTACCAGCATTCCAAATCAGTTTTGTTTGCAGATATTTGCTAATATATCTCTATTTTTCTAACTTCTGATGTAAAAAATATTAAGGCTTTGTAACTGACAGGGTGTCTTTCAGTTGAACTTACCCAACTTTCTTAAAATATGATGGTTTCTAAAGGACTACTCTGATAGAGTGATACAGTGTTTCCCTCGAGGCTTAAGTCAGCTCAAAAAGCAGTTGTACAGTCAAGTACAATCCCAGAAGTCATTTACGCTGCCTACAGAGGCCCAGATTTTTCAAATCTAATTTGAACAAACTTTATAGCTTTCCACAACTCACATACTATTTTATTTTACCTTCTGTGTTTGAACTTCTGAGCCTTGCAAAATGATTGATTTGGAACACAAAGGACACCTGTCTAAAGACTAGGAAGGCCATATTTCACTTCTAGAAGAAAGTCTTAAACTTGCTTTCTTGTCTGAAACCAGAGTAACTAAAGAGTCCATCTGCAGATAGCTCTGAAAAGAATCCTTTACTGTCCCCATAACAGCACAATTAACCTCCCTTATTATCACAGCTAAAGGATCAAGGAGATCCATTTACAGCTGCTGGGCTGGCAGAATAGGGAACCTGAAGGGTGTATCTATGTGATCCCAAGCATACTTAAGATTGGATTTACTGGTTATACAGACAGAGATTGATAGGATGGTCTCAGAGGGTGGTTACAGTAAACCACCAGCATATGCCTTGCTTTTGCTTTCTAAATCATCTTCTTCTTGCCTGGGAGGAGATCCATAGAAGTATGTTCACACAGACCATCCAGGGGCTGCCTGAAGGCTGTCTGCAAGTCAGCCATTTGGTCAGAAGGTAACCAGGCTGTGGGGCAATCACTGTTAGGCCTGGACTTGCATCCACTCAAAACTACCTGTGCAGAGATGGCTGTCCCACTAACTCTTGAGATTGTCACTGCATAACTCAGCCAGTCTTGCCTAGAAATACCAGAGGGACTATATGGATTTCATCTATTTTTAAGTTACCTCATTTCATAACATTCAGATTGCAGTTACTTACTTTTCCTTGGCAAAGGTGTGCCAGCTAAGAAGCGATAGGAAATGTTTATAGATCCTGAGAAATTAGACAAATCTTTAAAACTGTGAACATAACGCTCTGGGTTGAGCTGGTGTGTGGCTGTTTCTCTGATTAATTGCTTGTCCCCTTCCTAATATTGGGAAAACAAAAAGAATAGAAGAGGGAGAGAGAGAGAAACACATTTGTGAGTGCCACCTGAAGAGGAAACATGGACAGGCAGGTTTCCAAGAATAACATTTTTCAGTATCAGCTTTTGTGAAAGCACGTATATGCCACCTTATAACCAACCAACCAACCAACCAACCAACCAACCAAAACCCAAAAAAACCCACCAAAAAAAAATCCCAAACCAAAACATTACTGAAACATTACAGAAAATCTAACACAACCTTTTAGATTACAGTAATAGGAAAAGAAAAAAAATATTTTGCACAAAATCTCTCGAAAAGTTGCAAACACTAAACTATTGGCAAAAAAATGCTATGATATTCAAAAGAGGGTTCTGTCAGCAACAGATAACTTTCATCGATGTAGAAGTGGGGGATATTTTTTCTAAATGTTTTCAGTGATTAAAAAAAGCCACTGTACCTGCTGCAAACGAAAGACTAAACTAGATTCTGTCACCTGGCTCATTTTGCCATTTTTCTGAAAAGCTTCTACTCAGATTTGTGATAAGAAGAAATACATGTGATCATGCATACAGCAAAAGCTTTCTCTGAATTTGATGAACACTGTTTGATGGCATAGAAAAAAAGGCACATTTCTCACCATGCCTCCTCTTCCTGCCTCCTCCTTCAGTCTTTTTCTTCCAAAAGGCTTTCCTAACAACAGTGAAGTCACAGAAGGGAAAGAGCAGCTTCATGAGTAGTGCCCTATCCATAAGGTCACTTGGGCTTCTGGAAAAATTTGTTCCTTAATACTTAAGAAAAGGGAAAGTATCTAACAGGTTGTAATATCATGAGACTGAATTTAGAAGTAGGAATGCTTATTTAATTTACCTGGTTTGATCTTAATCTGATGACAGACCCATGTATGAATGAGTTCATTTATTCTGATATATACAGTGTGTTTATGCACTAAAACCTCCTGATCTGTCATTAAATGGGAACACTGCACAATAATAGTACTGCTGATAACAAGAACAATCACAGAAACAGTAAACAGCACTCATTTAATGACACAAATATTAGAAAAAGGTGTCAAAGATATATTTTACGGCACAAAGAAATATTTCTGTAAACTGATCGCGTATCCATTTAGAGTTCATTGTTTTTCTTTCAAAGAAGTAGTAAATAATCCACTTCTGAGCTTAGTAAAGATCTTTGGCAGACATCCAGGGGTATCTACCCACACTGTTATGCTCTCTTGATCTGCAATATCTCTCAAGCAATTTCTCTCTATTCCTTCTGTGCTACTTTGTATTTGCTCATAAGTTATGAGAGGAAGTTTGATGATTAGATTCAAGATTAAAATCAGTGGTCTCAGTGGTCTAGGAATAGAATACACAAAATATATCAAATGGAAAAATAAATGGGCCAGTCCAAAAACTTCTTTTTTTTTTAAATCAGTCTTTCTTTAATGTCAGAAGATTGTGTGTCATTGGTTCCAGAACAGAGCACCAAAATTCCTTGTTTCATAAGAAGGTTTTGGAATGGAAACCCATTCTGCTGAAGTTTTCCTACATAAAAAGTTTCAAAATGTTTAGAAATAGACAATGTCAGAACAAAATGTTTTGATTTTAATAAGTAAAATATTTAGACTGACCACAAAAATTTTCCCTTATTTTTTCAATAAATGCTTTCTGTGGCTAACTTTTTTTTTTTTTGATAGTTGCTATTTTCATTCTTTTGTTAAATGATGGGCAAAGCTGACATATGGATTTTTTCCAAAAGATTAAAATCTGTTTCTTCTATCTCAGACTACTATGCAGAGGTCAGTGAAGTTGAGGAGCTTGATAATTCTCTTTGTTTTTCTTCTTTAGGTTTTTTTTATGATGGTTCTGCCTTTTATCTGTTAACAAACCTCTAGCTTACATTCCAGTGTTTGCTGAAGCTTGAGAGTTTTATGTGGGTGCCATAGGTTGAAGTGCCAGAAGTTCTCCACTCTTTATGGAGATACTCTGCTCTGCTAAAGATGCTGTGTCAGCTACAATAGTACTATTGTTTCCATAGTGCCCAAAATGGTGATAAGTATTCATAGAAGAGCACAAAACACATGCTTTGCTTGCAGTTCACTTACGACTCTGAAAAGGTTTAAAAACCCCACTGCATATATTGTGATATTTGGGATATATTAATTCAGTATGTCTTCAAAATACTTGATCAAATGTAGTTCACATGTTACAGATGAAGCACCTTAAACAGCTTTTCTAATATACATGCATCAACAGTGCATAACTGCATACCCTCTATCCAACATACTTAAGCAATTTTGCCACATGGGCTCCTTCTATTTCTGCAGCAAATGCCCTGCAGAAAACAGTTATGGGATTTTTTGTGCATGTGAGACTCTCTGAGCAAAACCAGAAAGGTTCTCATCTCCCTTCTTAAGACTTCCTATAATGAATATCACTTTATTATTCTAACATTGAAAAAGATTACTCATCTCATCTTACATGTGGCGCCAGAGATACCAACTCCTCAGTCGTTTGCACAGCCTGCTGCCTGAGACTGGGAAGGGGAACTCAGGATGAGTTGCTTTCCTTCTATCAGATACCTTGAGCAGATAGTCCATCAGGAGATAGGCTACAATTCTGAGCGCCTTCGGGGCTCTGAGGAGTTTTATATTCTCATTCCCTGAGGGGAATTGGTTAGCCTGTTGTCCTCAAAGGCTTTCCCCAAATATCTCTCTCCTCACCAAAACCACTGAAATTGCTCATCTTTTAACTCAGCAGAGAAAACACACAGACATGGAGTGTTTGGAGCTGTCAGATATGGTCAGGGAAGTTGAAAAGAAAACTAAATAAATAAACTAAAAAGTCAACAGCCTAACACATTTGAAAAACATTTGATGGACCATAAAGGTATCAAGAGATCTGGAAGAACTGTCAGGAGACTTGGTAAGAGACTTGGCTGGGAGCTACATGAATGCAAACATGCCAGAACTGTGATGAGAGAAGCAATGAGAGAGAGAGAATTTATAAAAAAGTGGGGAAAAGAAGAGAAAATTAAGACATGGAGCCATCTGGGGAGCTGGCAAATGGAACAGGAAAAGATTTCAAAAACAAACCAAGAGGAACACCATTAGCAGTAATAATAAAAGCACTTTCAGAAACATCTGGGGAACTTTGAAACAATTAGAGAATGGAGAAGAAACATCAGGGAAAATACCACTAGAGAAAAAAAAAAGTGACAAACCAGATCAAATTTGATCATAACCAAGAAATGTTAAATAAATAACAGAGTGAAAAACTTTAGTTTTAGAGAAAGACTATGTCTGTAATGGAGTAACATGCTAGAGGCATGGGTTATGTTTTCAGTGACTTAAAAAATACTAGCATAATCTCAATTTGTAAAAATTGATAATACTGTTATAAGTAATTTCAGAAGTAAAATATTTTGAATTAAAATAACTAGGAAGTTATATATGGTTCTGATAAGTAATTTAAAGATTTTTACTATTTGTGTATCATACTTCTTGTCATACTGTTATGTTTCTTTTCAGGTCCAACTTGAAACTGAACTTCACCTTTCAGAATATGGGAAAGCCCATACTTTCCCAGTTCAATTCGAGATCAAGATGGGAATGTCTAATCATATCACAATATAACATATTCAGTTTAGTAATTTTACTATTTACAAGCTCCAGTTGTTAAGCCACCATGTTCTTTTACCTGCAAAGAACTGGAAATTCAATCCACTAATCAAGACTTCAGGGCTTGTTTGACAGTCGGCACTGAGACACCCCTACATTACATATAAACTGTAGAGTTATGTTACATTGTCAGAAGGTTATTTTTTGAAATTCCTAACACAAATCTTCCTATATTTTTATTTTCAAAATCATAGGCTGGGTGGCATTTATGTCTATTTATTAATACTGTAGCACCGAACCTGTGAGACTCAAATCTGAGATACAGAAGGTGAGAAAAACACAAAATAAAACCACTAAAAAAAAATTATTTATGCAAGGAGCTTAAAGTAGATGGAATTAATGTGAGTTCTCTTTTATAATTTTATTTTTATAATAGACTTTAATGCAGTATTCACGGGTGAATTTGCAGTGTGGACTGAAATTAGCTTATGCAAATATTTCAGATATAGTCTATTTTCAACATTAAAATTGAGGGAAATCCAGAAGTATGGAAAATGTAGAGGATATTTTGACTCAAAAGACACTTGATGGAGTTAACTTCATGTTTTTCTATACTCATTATCTCCCATACTTCCAATAAACAGTGACATATTTACTTCTGTGGAAAGGACTGTTAGGATCTTACTGACACTGTATGCGATATACATTAGGGAGCTGGTTTCATCATAAAGGACACGTCTTGAGGATACTTCACTGTTAATGGTACACAAACAGGGAGAATTGAAGGAATTATGAAATTTAGTGTTTAACTAGGGATATATCCTGTTTTCTGGTTCTATGATAATTTCTCCCATCTAAAAAACTTACCAGAACGTAACCGTCTTCAATGTACAAGTTCATGAACAGCAAGCAAACGACAAGGACTCCTAAGAATGACACTGCTGATCTTTTCCGCAAGCATCTCATTTTATCAAAATATTTCAAGCTGTGTCTCATGTGAAGAACAGCATACAGTAGTGTCACCTATGAAAGAAAACCACAGTATTACAAGAACTGTCTGCCCAATAAACATTATAGCAAATCAACTTACCTTCAGATATATCATATCCCTTCAAACACACAAAGACCCCACACTTTCAGGTGAAATTAATTTCATTTAATCATTGTCATCTTCAAGTTGATATAGTTGAGATATAGTTAAGATCACATACAATCAACTATAATTTAAGTTTTCCTTTTTTGTTTGTTTGTTGTGGAGGTTTTTTGTCAGTAAAGAAAAAAAAAACTCTTTGCCATACCTATTTTAGGCTGCAATTACCACATCACTGTGGCAGGAGTGCATCAGCAGTTCAGTTTCCTACACTTAACTATCAAATGCCAACTTGATGTCTAGAGATGATTTGTTTTCCTATGTACCTATGTTCCATTTGTTCTCCTATGTACCTAGGTCTCCTCCCAAAGACAGGTCAAGCCAATAGGCAAGAACCAAGCTATTGCATGACTGTGTTGTTGCCAATAGAAGAATTCCGGATACCAGAACTTCCAGGAACAGATGAGGTACCTTCCCTGAAGTCAGAAAGCAGTAACAAGGCTGTGCAACATCCCTCAGCCTTAGACCTCTGCACCACAATGGAAAAATTTTCAATTGAGATATCATTTTCTTCTTCAGAAGAAAGGTGTATTTCTGTCTAAAAGCAGACACATTTAAGCAGAGTATTGGGAAGTCTTGGCCTAATTAAATGAATCAAAGAAGGGGGGCATGGATGATTATAAAGCCACTCAGTAGTTCCATTCAAGGTCAAGAAGGAGGGCTGCCTAGTCATATCACGAAGTTGCATATTGATTTTAGCCATTTTACTCTTTAAAACAAGATGAATGGTATTCTTGCCCATCAAATCATAAACAATAACATATATAGGACTACAAATGTTTGAACAAGATTTGGCCACAAACGGAAGATCACACTGCCCAAACTCTAAGGGATTATCAGCAAAAAAGTACATTATAAGCTTATTATATATGTCCTCACTCATATTTTGACTATTGTCCATAGCAATGTCTGATTTTTCAATGCAATTTAATGTATAGAAGTCATATAAAAATTGAGAGATTGAAGCTATCCTGTGTGAAGTAGCAAAAAGCATGACATGCACAATGGTTAAACCCTGTACTGAATACCACAATTTTCATAAGCATTGAACATCTAAACTGATACAAAAAAGACCAAATTAGAATTTCCATTAAGATTTGTCATGTCATATAGAAAATTTTCTACCCTAATAATAAAAAAACCTTCCAAGCACAAAATTCAATATATATTTGTTTTGCCACACTGAATAAATATATCTAACAATGTAAAATATGAGTCCATTAACCTCTAGAGAGCTGGGAGGTGAATATATCAAATATTAGTAATGCAGATGTGTAACTGCAAGGTTTTTTCCGTATAGATTCAAAATAAACTGCAGTAAATGGAGACTGGTTTAACACAGAATATTTTTAAATTCACTACAGTGAGAATAAAACCAGTTTACATGTTGCATGTAGGACAAAAAAAAAGGCATTGATAAGAATTTAGATTTTTGTCTTATGTATTTGAAGGTGGGCTAAATTACAGAAGCCTGATTATTCTGAAGGTGAAAAAACCCAATGTAGATTTTTTTTAAGTTACATCAAGGATTTCCTTTTTCTTAATATCCAATGAATGTAAACATCGTGAAGAAGCTGTTAGGGACATGAATCTCCAAACTCTCCCTAACTCCCTGCACCTCCCTGTGGCAGCACAGTGGTTGCTCGTGTCTATAGATTCCAACAGGCTGTTGAGGAAATGAAAGATTGCTCATTTTAGAAAAGACTGTGTTACACATACAGTTTGGTGGGTTTGTTTTGTTTTGTTTTGGTTTTTTGTTTGTTTGTTTGTTTGTTTTTTCTTTCCCCTCTTCTCACACCCTCTGTTTCTCACAGTATAATTGCTGATTTTCAAAGCAGTACATTCTTTTTAAATCCTATCAGAGGATCACTGGATTGATTAAACTCTGACACTTCTCACATAGGGGCATTAACTACCCTGACAATTGAAAATGCAGGTAGTCGGAGTTAAGAGTGCTTGCAGACACTGGCAGCTTATTACATTCTGAAGTTTTTCTTTTGACAACTTAATAATAAATAAATGGGGGTGGGAGTGGGGGGTGTGTTTCAGTGATGACTGGGCCATATTTGTTGGCTGGACTGCAGTGTTACACAGTTCCCCCACCTTCACTCTGAGCAGCCTGACTAAAGTCCGGAAGGATGAAGAAGAGGAGTTACAACTATATTTGCTGGTCATATTATATTAGTTTTTCCCGCTGTATTTTTCATTAGACAATTACTATGTTGGGTTGGCAACTAAAACAGGGGGAATTACACAGGTGAGGATGGAGGAACATAAAACTGCCATGACTAAAGAAGATGTACAGAAAGCAGAGAGCCCAGTATGGTCACCACTTGAAGGAGATCACCTGGATTACTTGTGTGGTTTCACAGGAAGCCTTTACATGACTGTTTTACAAATGGAAACAGCTGAAAGCAAAACATCAAGTATCATGCCAGTGAGGGTTTTTTCCACTCATAAGACCTACTGGTAGGTCCATACCGAGTAAAGAAGCGGAGGACTCCCCGAGGAGAGCGTGCCCCAGATCCGTACGTGCCAGGGGAGGCTCTGACAGCACCGCTGACACCAGGTGGCAGTGCGGACACGCTCTTACCAGCCCCGACCAAGCTCCTCGACCTGTCCCTCCCAACCAGTTTGTCCGAAGGTGCTGTTTGACATCCTTATACTAGAAAACCTAGCTAAAACCGCTCCCAGGATCACACAGATGCACATACAGAATTCTTTACGTCTTCTTAGAGCTGCTTCCTCTTGCAGCTCCGTTTCCAGTCTTTAGCATTGCATTGTGGAACACTCCACAATTGAAATTTGCACAGAAAAAAGGTACATCTTACTCATTTTTCCCAAGTTATGTCATTCACGTTTTGAAAAATAGTCTCAGAACTTCCTGCAGTGGGACCTCTGCTGTTCTTTAAGACCATTTGAATATTCACCATTATTAAAAACCTAAGACTATGATGTTGAAAAACAGGATTCAATTCTTGATTCAATTCTTAATTCAGTTCTGAAGGCACAACTTTGCTTGAGGATTTTATGCCTTCGTTATTCATGCACAATTAAGTAACTATCAGGATGGTATAAATGCAATTTGTTTCATGAAGCTGGCATTAAGCAGTTAAACATAGTAATTAATAAACATGCATGAATTATAAGTCTCTTCTTTTCTAAATGAGATGTATTGCTTTCCTCCATCTCTTCAAAGAGAACTTTTAAGACCTCAAATCCCTCTGCACATGTATGTGTTGCTATCAGACATACATGTGCAGTTTTACATAGTAATATGAAATTATAACTTCTTTGACTTTCTAAAATGATACAGCAATGAAAAGGTGGTGAGCTAAAAAATGCAATGATGTACCTTTACAGTGTGAAAAGGCTGCACTTTATGAGATCTGCAAAGGTGTGAAAGCTGTATAAAAGTCCAAGATTGATTTTCACATGATAATGTGAAGTTTTCTTTTGAAGGATTTACAATACTCAGCAGAATTTTAAATTTTTCAAAAAAAGTAAATCCCAAATGACCATTTAGAAAGAGTATGTTCTTAATAAGCCAGGTCCTTGAAACCACAAAATTAAAGTATTTAAATTTAAATATGTTAAAATTTTTAAACTTACTAAATTTTTATTGCAATGTATCTGTTCCCAAGAGGAAAAAATTCCATTAAGAAAGATTTTTTCTTTATTTTCCTCCTTTCCAAGTAAAAGACTTTTTGCCCTCCCTATATTACTCTACTCTAGGACACATATATGCACATTCACTGTGGTAAACCATTTCGTATTTGATCCACTCTAATTCTTCATCATTTTCTGGTAATACTAGGAATTTTTGCTTTTTCCCACTTTCAGAGATTATTATTTACTTTCCTGACATATTTTCTCCATAAACAGATACATAAAAAGGCCCTGTGGTGTTCCTTTACCCTTAAGGATGCCAACCCAAGTTAAGGACTTAGCCTTACCTAACAAGTGCAGTGAATCTGCTTGTATGTACAGCTGTACAGAGAGCAACAAGGTCATCTTTGTATTATATTCTAGTCTGCTTGAGCAATGTGCCCCAGAAGCTCGAGAAAAGGTGCTTATTTGCAGAGGCACTGATGGCTGTCAGAAGTGGCAACTGCATTAATTTTACATTCTAACATTTCCAAATGAGGAACGTAGTTTTGCCTGTCACTGCAGAGTCTATATTCCGGGAGGTAAAGTAGAGCTGATCCACTACCACATTTATTATATCAACAAAATCCGTAGATAACACACAACCCTCCCCATGACTGGATTATTAAATCCCTTGTGAACTTTATTGCAATCCCTGATTTGTCTAAAGCACTCAGAAGAAGGTACTTCATTCTTCAGTTTTGTGACATACCATTCCACCTGTAACATTCAGTCTGTAACTGAATTGCTTTACTTGCAGTTCTTAATGCTTGTCCAATTTGTTTTTCAGTTTTTCTTTTTGGAAGGCTGCACATGATGCCTCAGGATTGCATTCAGTTGTCTTTATGAAGTGGCAGAGGAAACACTTTCAGAAAAAAAAAAAAAAGAGGAAAAAAAGAACAAAATGGAATTTTTTAAAATTGTTATATTTTGCATGTGTCATGATCTTCTTATACAAGATTAAAAAAACCAAAATCTAGGCTGTGATATACATTTGAGCTACAGATGGTAATGAACTGGAGAATTATAATTTATAGGCTATTCCATGGGGCTCAGACAGACTCCTAGCAAGATTTGCTGTTTGCCTTACTGGAAGCCTGAAAGTACTTATGAAATGTTTAAGGTTGACAGGCAGGATGTTTGATGTCACTGGCAGCAGGGAAGTAAAAACTGGGCTGAAGAAAATGGAAGTTTAACTTAGAAAGAGGCTAGCAAATCCAGATGA